CGGGCCGGGCCGGGCCAGGGCGGCCTGGGCTGATAAGGATGTGGAGCGGGTGGCCGGGCTGGGCCGGCCCAGGCCCGCGGCACTCTAGGCGGGCCCGGCCCGGCCGGAGGACTTTGCTCGGTGTACTCGGCGACCTGTCGTGACGCCATGGCGTGGGTAGGGATCTGGGCGTCGAGTTATTATAGCTGGTGACCCGTCATTGATCGAGAGGGCACGCGAACCGGCGCGGCGCGGCGCGGCCGCCGGACCTTCGAAAGGTATACGCAACGCGCGGCGCGGCGGTCCGAGCCGAGTGCAGCCGGTGCAGCCGCACCGACAGGGGGAAGGACCGAGCGGGACGGGGCGGCGCGCCGCGGAGGCAAAGTCCTCCAAGTCACCGGGGCCTCGTTGGAGAAGTAGTGTCCCCGGGGCCCATGAATGCAGAAGCAGTGTGGGTGCAAGAGAGACGGTACCATGCTGGCCGGGGAGGTCCATGACATCCGCACAAAAGACCCAACCAAACCTCTCGCGGGGAGAGTCCGGAAAGGGCTGCGGTGGGGGTGGAGGGGGGGGGGGCGTTATAATCGGGTGATGACAGAATTTCCTGCTGCGGTTTCCTTCTGGCGGATTCCTATTCCAATGTCCCGTTAAACGTGTATTTGAATCCAACACTCCCACCCCATTTATGTACTTAGCTAGCTACGACTGCCGTTTTCCTATTCATATGGCGTTATCCTTTTTCTGTCGGAATTTCCCTGAAGAACGTCACCGTGACTTATGACACAAACACTTACTTCTACGCACATTGACTCTGTGAGTATTTTTACTTTGTCGGTAGCTCTGAGTCACTGTCGACCAAAAAACGGAGCCGGCACAAGCGCTCACGCCGCTCCCACCATGAAGTCATTGTAGCAATCGGAATCATGTCCGTTTCAAGCAGTTTGAGACAACGCACCGAGATACGGTTTGCCGCGCGGCGCTGCGCGGGGTGGCGCGGACCGAGCTGTCAGCCAGCAGCCAGCCACCGACGACGACGCCAGTCTGTGGGACAGTTCCATGCCCGCGCGGAGGCAGTGGCCGATGACTGAGTGACGGAGCTGATCGGCCGCCCGCCGCCCGCCGGCAGCGAGAGTGAGTGAGTGGGAGTGAGCGAGACAGTCGGGAAAAGTGAGTGGCGCGTGCGAGCGCGTGTTGGTCTTGTGCTCGACGAGGACGGGACGGCCCGGGTCGCCACCATGCAGCTGCACGGCGAGGAGCACCCCGTCACCCACGACAACAACAACGTCGTCGTCAACGAGCTGGAGGCCGTGAGGCTGAGGAGCACAGGTTAGTGTTGGTGTAAGCCGGCCAAGCCGGCGTGGCTTTTTTTTTATCATCGGCAGGGAATGAAAAGCCATCGTCGTTTTTTTCCCTTGTTAAAGTTGAAGTAGACGGATCTGACTAGGCGGGCCGTAGCAGCAGCGGAGCGGTGCTCGAAGCAGTCTAATAATGCACTTGACGTAGCTTGGGCGCTTCCAGGCGGCTAGACGCCTAGACGCTAGACGCACTCTTCGTCTAGTCATTGTCTACTATTGTGAGTTTGGTGAGAGAAATACTGTGACGCGTGCGAGGGATTCAAGGGCAGATGTGCTAGGGCAGCGGTGCGACTATGTTACGATTTACGTCCCCACGCCGAACAGGCGTGGGGAGGAGGGGG